TTGGTATCACATTTTTCTTTTCATAGTGTAGATCAACCTCATTGGCACGGAGATGATGAAGAGGGTCCACAGAGCAGTTAATGCACGATTATCACATAGGCAGACAATTGGAATGAGCAGTTCGAAAGTCTTCAACTTGAGAAAGAAGTCTTAGAGGAAGAAAAGTGTACCTTGGAGCAACAGGTAAAAGTAATGGCAGCAGAGTTCGCAGTTGAGAAAGCCTCATCCAATCAGGCGGGCAAAGGTAAAAACCTTCTCGAGTCTTCATTCGCTAAGCAGCTTTCCAAGGCTACTGAAGAAATTAGAGGTCTGAAGGAACTGCTGAACCAGAAAGAAGTTTAAGCCAGGGAGCTTGTTCAAACGCTCACCCAAACTCAAGAAGATCTCCGCGTATCTTCTAACAAAGTTCAATTTTTAGAAAGGTCACTTGCCCCCTTACAGGCTTCTTATGATGCTGCCTTGAATGAGAAGGAAGAGCTAAGAAGTGAGATTGAGCAGTGGGAAAACGGTTATGAAGCCCTTGAAAATAAGGCCGCTGTTGATGTTAATTGGGCTTTCTTGAACACACGTCTCGAAACTTTAATGGAGGCAAGCCGGGAAGGCTTTGACTTAGCTGCTGAAATTGCAAAGACTAAAGAAACTATTGAGAAAACCCAACAGAGTCAGAGCTTTTCTTCACTTGAGGTCGCATTCCAGAGGGTGATGAAGTGACTTCTGGTGAAGTTGTTGTTCAACCTTCTTCTGCTCAAGTTGTTCCTCCTGCTATTGATGATGCCATTCTTTTGAAAAGTTTGAAGTGTTGTTTCGTTGTTTTTTTTATTGGTGGAATGTTTGGAAGTTTTACCCCTGGTCCTGTTTTGGGGTTTAGTGACGCTTAATTTTTTTTACCCCTGGTTTGTTTTGGGGTTTAGAATCAAATGGTTAGGCTGTAACTAAGTTTTTATACTTAGTTTTAACCGAATTTATATAATATTATTTTCCGAGTTTTTGTTATCTTATTTTGGGGTTTGAAGACAAATATTTGCCTTATGTTTGCAAAGCTTGATATATAGATTTTTGGCTTTAATATCCGCCTAATTTAATGTTTGGGTTTTTGTTTCACCCTTTGTTATTTTAACTTTGCATTAAACATGCTTCAATGCTCCGTGACTTTTTTGAACAAGCACGAACTATAAAAGAGGGCCCTTTTATAAACGACACTTAATGAAGAAGACGTCTCAACTTCATATGGGTGTAAACATACGAAAGAAGAAGTAGGAACATACATATTTCTTGGAGTAACTTGAGGAAGTTTTGTATTCTTGAACTTTCAAACTGTATACTTTACATGTATTCGAATAACATCTAAACAACTCTTTCATAACTGTTTTCTTTATAACAGATTTTAAAAATTTCAAGGGTATATCTTGCAACCCACAACTAAATATTGCCNTGGGTTCGATCTCATTTCTTTAGGCCACCACACCTTATCTCCCATGCTTCTTCAAAACAGCTACCAACTCAGAGGTGCTAACATTGAAGCTGTAACCACCAATCTTCGCTTTTGTACTTCTGTCGATGTCCTGCGTGTCTCGCTCCTTTCCAAACTTAGATGACGAACCCGCGTCTCTGTCACTTGATTTGGAACCGTACCTCGGTTGTCCTGTTTAGAACGTGAATCCCTTCCTGCTGGTCCCATGTAAGGTTCGTACCTGTTCTTACCGGACCTTTTTTTAGTTTCTGGTCGCCTCGAACTTACTCTTTCATCTCCCCGCGACCGAGTGATAGTATCTTCTTCTATCCGCAGCTTCGTGCTATACCTGTTGTAAACATCATTCCAAGTTGTTGCAGGAAATTCTCGTAAACTTTCTTTGAGTCTCCTCATGGCTTCTGAGCTTTTTTCATTTAGGTTACTTGCAAATGCCATAGCCGCCCAATTATCAGGTACACGTGGTAACATCATTCTTTCACGCTGGAATCCATACACAAATTCCCTGAATAACTCAGTATCTCCTTGTTTTATTTTGAAGACGTCTTCCATCCTCTTTTCAACTTTTTGAGCTCCCGAGTGTGCTTTTATAAATGAATCTGCAAGCTCGGCAAAAGAGTCAATAGAATTTTCAAGTAAAAGAGAATACCATGTTAGTGCTCCTTTTGTGAGTGTTTCACCAAATTTTTGACCAGCACTGACTAAATCTCTTGCTTGGTCAGGTCGTTGGCTTTCACACCAGTTGTAAATACAGTTACATGATCTCGTGGGTCGGTTGTCCCACCATACTTCGGGATATCGGGCATCTTAAACTTTTTTGGAATTAGCAAAGGCGCGGTACTTGGCTTCCATGGTTGTTGAGAATATTTATCAATATCCACCCCTTTGATTATGGGTGGAACACCAGGTATCTGCTCTATGCAATCGTTCTGCTCCTTGAGCTGTTTCTGCAAAGTTAGTACTAAACTTTGTAAATCAGAATCAATTAGAATACCTGACCTTCCATCACGAGATTCGCTGGGAGTTCCTCCACTGCCTGAATTTAGCGAGTCCCGAGCATGGATTTTCTATGGTTGCGGTGTTATTTGGAGGTGGAGTTGGTGGTACAGTTGGCAACCCACTAACAAAACCTTGAAGAGCATTGTTGACCAGTTCTGCAATTAGTTGCTTCAATGCATCATCAACAACTTGATCTTCCCCTTGTTGGTCATTCACATGTGATGTTGATCTGTCAAGTGACCCTTCTCGGGAATGTTGAGGAGAGTTTCGGGGTGAAGGGATTGGAGTTCCATCCTCTTGTTAATTCTGCTGGTTCAACTGGTTTTGCTGATTTTGTTTTTGTTGTCGTTAGCGGTCGACATGATTTTTTGACGGAACAAAGAATTTGGAAAGTGAAAAGATTATCAGATTCCCGGTAACGGAACCAATTTGTTTAACCAAAAATTATGTAATTCGGTCAAAGCTTACTTTAAGAAGTACTTGGGCTACTGATAATCAAGAAATTCTATATTTACTCAGTGATAAGAAAGAAAATTAGAATATGAGATAGCAAAAATAGCCAATAGTAAGCAAAAGAAAATAATTGTATTCCAATAATAACCAAAACATGTCCGTACAAATAATATCCCTTTTCCTTATATAGGAATCTATAAGTACTACGTCTTTCCCCTTTTATGACCGAATCATTATGAGCATTAATGATATTAATGAGACGTTATAATTGGTAATCGTAACTGTTCATGAGGATTCTGTAACGTTTGAGATCATTCACGCTCATTAATTAATGATTCATGAATCTTTCCTTTTTACTGTCTTGATTCATTCCACCGGTACCTCTTCATGTATCCATTTAGACTTGAGCGACCATATCATTCCCTCTCGTGGGTGATTTGCTCGTATCTGTTACGACTCGTGTTTCTTTCAATGCATCTCTCCCGCTAGCGCTTTTTTAGTAATCCACGTGTCTTGCCATATCATCCACGTATTTTATTCCACGTGTAATATTTATTTTTACCAATACATATGTGTTGAAAATCCAGCTAAAAAGTAAAAATGGCACGGGCTAGCTAGTTTTCGGACTGGTCATTCAAAAATAGCCAGCGTTTGCAAAGTCATTGAAAAATAGCCACTATATTGCTGCAACACGGAAAGTTTCAGCATAATATACTGGAGATTGGTGCACCTGTGTATGAACTTCCAGCATATTATGCTGGACCGGTATGTTATACTGGAACTCCAACATATTATGTTGGACCAGTATATTATACTGAAACTCCAATATAATATGCTAGAAGTCCAGTATATTATACTGGAGTATTTTTTGGATTTTAAACAGTGTTTTCGTTCAGATTTATCTTTATATGAAAAGTGGCTAAATTTCGATTACTTTTGAAACTGTCGCTATTTTGAATGACCACTTGTAAATCTGGCTATTTTTGAATTTCTCATAGCTAAAAAAGTACAAAAATAGATTGTGAACACGGGTGATGTGATAGAATTACGAATTTGAACCCATGAAATTATTGGAAACAGCCTCTCTACCTGCATTAGGTAGGGGTAAGGTCTGCGTAGAGACTATCCTCCCCAGACCCCACCTGCTGGGATCAAACTGGGTTTGTTGTTGTTGTTGTAACCCATGAAATTCAAATCCTAGATCCACATCTGCATAGCCCGGTGTACAAAGCATTCCGTATTCACGCAGGATTCGGGAAAGGATTGCACTCCAAGGGGTGTGTTGTAGACAGCCTACCTAATGCAAATATTCACGCTCAAACCCATGACTTATAGGTCACACGAAAACAACTTTACCGTTACTTGAGAGCTCCTCTTCACATACAAGCAAGAAAGACAGCCAAAAAAAATCCAAATTGTTGAAACAATCAGGTTATCCAAGTCTCGGTACTTTTCAACTCCCTCATAATGGCAACTGCATTAAAAGCTTGTTTGGTGATAACTTTTTAAAACCACCCTAAACTCAGAATATGTCTTCAATATAGTGCTCTGGTTAAAGTTTTTCTTTTTAAGGGTAGTGTATATTACTTACTAACATTATAAGTATTAAGTAAAGAGGACAATTATATGTAAGCATTCATATAAATATCAAATTTATAATGTGATAGCAGGCTAAGTTACTATTTTGTCAGGCTACTAGTAACTACACTTATCGCAGAGATTTACGTGTAACCTATGTTGCTTGGATTCTCTAAAATAGCTTTCGTGTCGGATCCTCCAAAAATGCACTATTTTTGGAAAATCCAGCACGTCACTAAACAATACTTTCGGAGAGTCCAAGCAACATAGCCTGTAACTACATCATAATTGATCTGATTATGTAAAAAAAAAAATTGCACTAACATTTTACACCATCAGTGCATAAAATTTAGACGGTAATTAATTTACACGTGTTCGATTGTGACTATTCATCAAGCTGGTTTTTATCATCCACAGTATGTACGTCCCTATCAACTGTACATATCTTCTGCTATATATGCAACAATGAATTACCATATTCCTGAATAAGATATTTCAGACATCAAATTTGTCTTGATTTCTGCTACACAAAACTCTATTAGGACAATATTCTCTTTTCCTTATAAAGAGTTTTAACAAAGAATATGGAGATAGAGGCAGCAAGTACTGCAGCAAGTGGTGGAAATTGTCTTGATCTTGAAAAGGGGGTGGCGTTATCAGAAAATACTGTATTATCTGGAATTCAAAATGCTGCATATTTGGTTTGGGAAGATTTAACAGTAATGTTGCCAAATTTTGGGAATGGACCAACAAAAAGATTACTAAATGGAATTACTGGTTATGCTGAACCAAGTAGAATCATGGCTATTATGGGTCCTTCTGGTTCTGGCAAATCCACTCTTCTTGATTCTTTAGCAGGTCATCTCTCTCTCATCTCTCTCTATTACTAGTTGAGTTTATTACATTGCTATGTTGCGCAAACTCTCCAAAATGACGCTGCGTCAGTGTCGGATCCTCCAAAAACGAACTGCTTCTGGAGGATCCGGCATGCACCTAGCGATATTTTCGGAGAATCCGAGCAACATAGCTACATTGACACTTAAAAGAAATTTTTAGACTATTAAGTCACGTAAAATATAATTATATGTAATCATCTATAAAAGGTGAGATCACTATGCAGCAAAATAAGGTATGTAACTCTCCAAAATGATGCCGCATTTGTGATGGATCCTCTAAAAATGCACTATTTTTAGAGAATTCGATATGCACCGAGCGATATTTTCGGAAAGTTCGAGCAACACAGCAAAATTAACAATTAAAAGAAATTTTTACACTATTAAATCACCTAAAATATAATTATATGTAATTATCCTATGGCGCTTCAATGTACATAGGTTAAATTCTTAACAGTGCACCCATTTCTAGGGTGGAGCTAGAAGGTTACCTATGTTTCAGACGAATCCAGTAACTTCAGTCCAAATTTCGTGTATATATATATATATATATATATATATATATATATATATAAAAGTTAAATTCATAATCCAATTACTGACACCTGATAACATTATCTTAGAATTTAATTAAAAATCATAAAGTTCAAATCCTGACTCATCTTCTACGCATTTCATTTGCATGAGAAAGGAGAAATAATTGTGATAAACAACAATATCTAAAGTTACTAAGTACTGATTTATAAGGAAATAAAGCAAAGTATGGTGTTTCAAGCATAACATCATCATTACCTAGGAAATAAAGCAAGGTTATGGTGTTTGAAGCATAACATAAGTTTGCCTCAATTGTTTGAGCATGCATAATGTCAATGATTATGAATCTGTGTGTACTATTTTCTTCTTCTCCACAAACAGAAGACCTGTCCGGTGCAGAGGTGGATCTAGGATTTCTAGAATACGGGTGCACCATTGAAAAAGCAAGAAAAAAGTACCTTGAATAATTAACTTAGCATTCAACCAGGTGCACCACTCAACCTTTTTGGAGCATGTGCGCCAACATATTATACTGGTCAATTTTACGATATATATACATAAAATACCTAATTTGGCAAAAAAACTATGTGTTCACGTGCCCCCTAGAAACGGCCTGAATCCGCCCCCTAGTTAGTGTCGTCGCTAATGCACAAGCTACTAAGGCAAGTGCTTTAGGCCCCCAATTTTCAGGGGCCCCATTTTTCAATAATAGTTACTAAGAAGGACTTTTTCGAGCCGATATACATCGACATATTTCGAGCCGATATACATCGACGGATTTAAGTAATATACATCGTTAATGTAAAAAATTTAACATTATTAGTGCTATTTAACTGAACAATATGTTATTTCTTTACTAAAAAGCAGTATACCAGTTCCATATAGACTAGACCTACTAATGGAGCAAGTCCGACTTCTGGAAACACGTCTTCCTATTCCATCTTTTCTCGAATTTCCTTAACGGAAGAAATAGAAAGCAATCCCTATTTCGCATAGCCGCCCTTTATTGAACAATCCTTCTTTTTACCCTGCCCGGAGCCATCCATCTCCAAATAGTAAACGCTGCTAAGCTCCTCGTGTGAAATTGTCTCTGTCCTTCGCTTTCCCTTCCTTTCTCAAGGTAACTTTCAATCCTCCGATCCACTCTCGTACTAATATGCTAACAGCGGTTTAGATAACCAGGAGCTCCTTGTTTGGGAAAGAAGAAAATACCGGGTTAAGTAGGCAATTATACTTTTTAGGTTATTCTCATCTCTTTATGAAGAGTGTACGTTAATTTAACTTAATGGTGTAACAAATTGCAAACTGTCAGTGTAGAAATGAAAATCTTTATACAGTCAGACCTATCTATAACAGTATCCCTATATAACAACACTTCACTATAAAAGTCAAACTTTTCCGAAACCATTCTTCATGTTAAGTTATAATATATGTTCTCTATAACAGCACATCGCTATAACATCCAAAATTATTCGGAACAAACGAGGTTGTATATAGAGAAGTTTGTAGTAACTCTTGTTGTTGGAAATTTAATGAATTAGCACAATGTTGTATATGTCACTTTCTTTTAGTACAATTCATTGTACACTTGGAAAGTCAAAAATAGGAGATTGAAAAGTAAGTGTAAGCAGTGCATTAATATGTGTAGCAGTGAATTTTATTGTTTCCTCTGACTAGTAATAATATTATAGGACAAGAGGTAGATAGAAAGAGATAAATAAGGCGTGGGTGCAGTTGGTCACCTAATTGATATTATAAATGCCTCATCTAGCTAACAGTCTAGCTAGTATTCAATCCTGTGCGTATTTATAATCCCTCTAGGTATAATAGTAATTTTTTTTGTTTCTCAATCGATGTTCGGTACTCGCATTAAGGTACGACTAAATCTAGATTCCTGCTAGAAAATCTTACTTTGGAGGTAAAGAGCTTCCTAATAAAGCGACTTTATACCCAGGGCTTGAATTCAGAGGCGAAGCTACACTTTGGTTAGGGTGGTTAATTGAACAACCTTTGTCGGAAAATTACGCTCCGTATATTGGTAAAATATCAGGTTTTTAGAGGTACATAACATATTGAACACGAGATTTTTTTTTACTTCTTTCAAGTTTGAACACCCTTGAGGAAATTCTTGACTTCGCCGGCCAGTTCCGAGACCTCTAGTTAAGAATGAAGTAATACACTACCACTGCACCACAACCCTCGTTGGTAAAATAGTACAATAGTAAATTGATAGTATTTCCACTTGTCTAGTTACTACAGCTATAGTACGTAGAGTAAATTACACGTACAGTTTTTCTATTTGGAATCATGCTATGAAAGCTCAATTTTTTTTTTTTTTTTTTTTTTTTTTGTGTGTGTGTGTTTGTATGTTATTCATATTATATATAGAGTTATGCAAAATTCTAATAGCCATTTTGCCAAGGGTTTTCTAGGATGGCTAAATAATAGTACGAGTAATTAATTGTTTAATATTGAATTGAATTTTTGAAAATAAGATGGAGAAATATTTACAGAGTTTGGTTTTACTTAGCAGGTAGACTCTCAACAAATCTTGTAATGAATGGAAATGTTCTTCTCAATGGAAAGAAGAAAAGGCTTGACCATGGTGTTGTCGTAAGTGCTATATCCAAATCAACTTAATATTATGAAAATTTGGTAAAATTTATTCTACTTTGAATTATTTAATTAAGAAATATATGTATTTGCACCGTAAAATATTTCTATCCATAAATACATTTTAAAGCAAATATTGGTACTTTCTTAAGTGGCTTAGATCAAATTGTAATATTTTCATGTTAATAAATCACAATACAATATTTGATCTAAGCCACTTAAGTACATTAAAATTATCTATATTTGTGTGTTTGTGAAAAATAAATGCTTGAATCTGTCACTGATTACTTGATGTTATTGTGGACTATGTTGCGCGGACTCTCCAAAATGCTGCCGCATCCGTGTCGGATTCTCCAAAAATACCCTACTTTTGGAGGAGCCGACATGAATCCGACGACATTTTCGGAAAGTCCGAGCAACATAGATTGTTACCAGGCTTATGTGACACAAGAAGATATACTAATGGGAACTCTAACAGTGAAAGAAACTATCCAATACTCAGCTCAATTGAGACTCCCAAGCAACATGACCAAACAAGAACTAAACAAGATTGTGGACAATGTAATATCAGAGATGGGGTTAGAAGATTGTGCAGAAAATTTAATTGGAAATTGGCATTTGAGAGGAATAAGTGGTGGTGAAAAAAAGAGATTAAGTATTGCACTTGAAATTATAACAAAACCTCAATTATTATTTCTTGATGAGCCAACAAGTGGACTTGACAGTGCTTCAGCTTATTTTGTTGTTCAAGTTCTTAAGAATATTGCATTATGTGGTGGAAGGACAATAATATGCTCAATTCATCAGCCAAGTAGTGAAGTTTTTGCACTATTTGATGATCTTTTCTTGCTATCCTCTGGTGAAATGATATATTTTGGAGAAGCTAAAATGGCAGTTGAGGTAAGACAAGCTTGACTTTACTCTTATATGATGTTATTAAATATGTATTTTAATTAGTTTGCACTCTGACAGCGTAAAATTCTCTTCGGGTGACCTATAGTTCTCGGGTTCAAACCGTAAAAACAGCCACTAGTGCTTGCATTAGAATATGCTGTCTACATCACACCCCTTAGGACGCGTTTGGTACGAGGGATAAGGGATAATTAATCTCGGGATTAAATTTGAGATGGTTTTACCCCTACGTTTGGTTGAGATAAAATTGTGGTATAATTAATTCCGGAATTAGTTATCCCGGAATTGTAATATTTTTTTTAATCTCTATGGGAGGGTGGGATAACTAATCCCAGGATAACCAATCCCGGGATAATTAGTCATGAGATAACTTGTTTCCCAACCAAACGACCCCTTAGGGTGCGGCTGGGTAAACCCATCTCAAATTTAATCTCGGGATTAGTTACCCTGGAATTGTAGTATTTTTTTATCCTTATGGGAGGGTGGGATAACTGATCTCGGGATAATTAATCATAAGATAACTTGTTTCCCGACCAAACGACCCCTTAGGGTGTGGCCCTTTCCCGGATCCTGCGTGAATGCAGGATGCTTTCAAAATTTTTTAAAGAAGAATAAATGGGTTTATATAAAAAGGATGCTATAAACATTCCGAAATAAGCTATACGCTCGGTTATTGATAGAGTGAATAGATCTGCCATTTCTTGAAATCTCTCTTCTGATTCAAAATCGTAGTGTAACGTGTATCCTCGACACGAGATAGATCTTCCAAAGAACAAGACCTTTTTCGAATAAGCCAATTCATTTGGGACCCTGCAGATCCTTCCTCCAAGGCCCAAATAGCTTAATTTTCTCCCATGAACTATTTGTGTCAATGGATTAGTTCGATCCAAAACTTGAGATAATGGGTGTAAACCGAAGGCCGGGACAAAGGATCGCGATCCCGCGAGGGTGAGCTAACCCCAAAAACCCGTCCTCAGTTCGGATTGCAGGCTGCAACTCGCCTGCATGAAGCCGGAATCGCTAGTAATCGCCGGTCAGCCATAAACGGATGAAATCAAGAAATAATTCAACTAACAGTTCGAACCAAGAAATGGAAGAACGAAAGTCGTATGGGTTCACTTCGCCGGATGCCTTCTTTTTTTTTTTTTTTTTTTTTGCACTGACAACGTAATTTTTATCATCACTGCACTTTAACTGATTGTATCAGGTTGCTTACTGTTTTTCTACCCAATCAATTATTTCTATATGGTTTACATATAGTTAACTTTTAAGTGATATGATTGTGTAACATTCAATGTGTAGAACTTAAAACTTGTTAAGGTAAAGGCAAATAAATTTCGCTAATTATGCACTGACAATTCAAATTTTTTTTAATGTATATAACTTAAATCCGAAAAGTAAATGTGATGAACACTATAGAAGAAAGACTAAAATTAGGATTAAACTGTATATAGGTCAAAGTTGTAATATTTATTTGATTTTATGTTTGCAGTTCTATGCTGATTCAGGATTTCCATGTCCAACAAGAAGAAATCCAGCTGACCATTTTCTTCGATGCATTAATTCAGACTTTGACGATGTTACCGCCACTTTAATAGGCTCGCAGAGAATAAATGTACGTATGATATATAATGTCGGTATGAGAAATTTTCCAATTATCGAATTTATTTTTATCTGTTGTAGCAGATTTTTTTACTCTCATTCTTCCGGTGTACCACTCGTTTTACTTTTAGAGTGTGTTTGGTACGAAGGAAAATATTTTCTTTATCACTTATTTTCCTATGTTTGGTTAGTGAGTGAATTTTTTTTTTCGAAAATTATTTTTAGTGTTTGTTTAGAGAGAAGATTTTTTTTTTTTTTGAAAAATAATTTTTTATGCTACTTTCCTTATCCTCCTTCCCCCAAATCCTCATGTTTCCTATGCTCCCCCTCCCCAAATCCTAAATACCCAACGTTTCAGGACTCTATTTTCTTCAAGAATTTAATTATTTTTTTAATTCACACAAACCCAAAAGGGACTAATGTGTTGTTTTACTTTTTCAATCGAAAATAACGTTGAAAATTGTGCTACATAACTAAAAAGAAAACACTTTTTTTTTTGGTTGAAAAAGAAAGTACTCTTTCTACAATATGAAAAAACGTATTCATTTTGTTAAAATGAAAGAAAATAATTTTTCTACATCATGAAAAGAAAACACTCATTTTGTTGAAATGAAAAAAATACATTTTACTACATTATTTTATTGAAACGAAAGAAAATACTTTTTTATATCATGAAAAGAAAATACTCATTTTGTTGAAATGAAAGAAAATAATTTTTTACAACATCATTTTGTTGAAATGAAAAAAAATATTTTTTACTACATCATTTTGTTGAAACGAAAGAAAATACATTTTCTACATCATAAAAAGAAAGTATTTTTTTGTTGAAATAAAAGACGATACTTTTTATTACATCATTTTGTTGAAATGAGAGAAAGTACTTTTTTTGTTGAAATGAAAGAAGATATTTTTTACGACATCATTTTGTTGAAATGAATGAAAATACTTTTTCAACATTATGAAAGAAAGTACTTTTATGTTGAATTAATGAAACAAAATACTTTTTTTATATCATTAAAAAAAATACTCATTTTGTTGAAACAAAAAAAGAAAGTGCTCTATCTACAACATGAAAAGAAAGTAATCTTAATAAAACTATTTAGGGTGGGGGTAGGGCAGGGTTGGGGAGGTGGGTGGGTGTGGTGGGGTGGGTGAGGTAGTGTTGGTGGTGGGGTGGCATAAGTGTGGGAAGGTTGGTGGGGATGGAAAATAGGGAAGGTTGAAGAAGAGTTTTGGAAAATATTCTCCTTTCTTTCGATAGGGAAAACACATTTTTCTCTAATTAGAGGAAAATGAGTTCATGAGGAAAATTATTTTCCAAAACATTTAAGCCAACTAAACATAGAAAAATTAAAAAATTTATTTTGGAAAACTTTTTCCTTCGTACCAAACACACCCTTAATTTATGACATTTTCAAGGAAAAAAGACTAACATACTCCTTCCATTCCATTTTAACTGTCGCTTTTGTTCTTTTCACGCCCATTAAAAAAAATAATAAGTTTACTAAGTTATTCCTATTAAATGCTTTTTGAGAATTGAATAGTATTAAAAAGGCCTATTACTTCTTTAATATTAAAGTTATAATTGGAAACTACTAACAAATTTAGTCTTGAGTTCTTAAAATGACAATTAGGGGATAATTATTTGAGTTAAAAGCGATAGTTAAATGGGACAGATGGATTATAAGTTGTTGATTACAGTATTTATCATGTGGGGACTGGGGACATATTTATTTATTTATGTTGAAGAATGTAATAATATTTTATGATATTGTTTTCTTGAAAAGAGTAAAAGTGAGTCCAATCAGTTTTTGATGTATTTAAAATGTGTAAAACCTTCAATATAATTAAATAGAGTGAAAAAACTTCTAGGGAGATCATTTTGTTGTGGAGGATTATGAAACATTTTTCTTGGAATTCTTCAACTAAATTTTTATTTATTACATCCAGTAGAAACTTGAGTACTTTTTGACTTTTGCATTCGAATTATAATTCCCTACATTGAAATTATAACTTTGTTAGCATGATTTTAATTTTTTGACATCGTAAATTATTTTTCAAAGAACATGTAGTCTTAAAATATAATATAGGTCAAAATCTTAAAACAAAAAATGATAATTGTGAAAATTAAATATGTTATTCTTTCTATTCAGGATATCAAAGAGTCCTCAGGTTCACTGGTTTATCTTCCAACAGCAGAGTGTAGAGTAAGGCTTATTCAAAAATACAAATGCTCCAAACATAGATTGAGGGCAAAAGCTAGAGTTCTCGAACTCGCAAATATTGTAAGTTTTCACAAGCTTTTCTTTCTTTTCTTTAATATTAGTATAGTATTCAGACTCAAAAAATAAGTTTTTGAAAGGGCAGCCGGGTGCATGCTGCCTCTATGCGCTGGGTCCGGAGAAGGGCTGGACCACAAAGGTCTATCGTACGATTCACGATGACTCCTTATACTTGGGTAGATTCACGATGACTCCTTAAATATATTCCTGAGTAGTTTTAATCCCTTAAATATGTCAAAAAGTGAGTTTTTTGGTCTTCGTCAAATATTTAATAAATTCTGATTGTTAAATTTAATGCGCACTGTAAAAAAAAAGTAGAATTTAACACGTCGTATTTGGTAGGTGCAGTTTTAGGTCACGGGTTCGAGCCGTGGAAACAGCCTCTTGCAGAAATGCAGGGTAAGGTAACGTACAATAGACTCTTGCGGCACGGGCGGATCCAGCCTTATGGGTGGGGTGGTATGGCACCCGCTCGGTCAGTAAAATTATCATATATTTTTGTAAAAAATTTTTTTAACTAGGTTAAATATATGATCCAGTCACCCCCATTCGCAAACTAGACAAAGGTGCCATGACCGGTAGACCTTTTTGAAAGCTTTTCTCATGTGTAAAATTCAAGATCGAATTTATCTTGAACCTTGTCTGACTTTCTCTTTTCGTTGTGCTTTTTATTTCTTTTGTCCCAGTCATTTTCTTTTTTGGCTACCTCCCAATTCCTATTTGTCGTTTATTATTTTTATATTTTTTCCTCTATTCTATTACTTTATGTGTGATATTTAGCAAGAACACTCAAAAAAGAGCCTCCAAAATTTGAAACTTTTTTTTATAAAGGCGCCTGAGGGCACTGATTAGTATTAAGCATTAAACAAATTTAAATTTTTTTAAATTATATGCATTTCTCTTAATCTCAAATCTTTTAGTTTTCTTCTTCAAAATCAAAAAACTTGGGTCTTGATATTTAGATTGAGATCAAAATTAATTTATAGTTTTTTTTTTTATTATAACATAAATATTTTGTTATTCTATAATTTTTAAATACAATTAAAATCTCTTTAGTATTAAATTATAATGAATATTTCGCAAGCATTAGATTTATGATTTTATGTTTTGAGGTCATGTAGTTTATCTAATTCTGCATTTACTTATGGGGTATAATTTACCTATTGAAGATGTTTTTTTTCTCTTATTCTGATTGGTGGAGTTCCCTTATTAAAGATTTTAGTTTACTTGTGCAAATTTATTTTTAGCATACAAAAAAAATATAGTTCCTTAGTGAAAATATTGATTTTACTTGTATTATTAATAATAAAAGTGTGATTCCTTATTTAAAATGCTAATTAAATTTTCTTCTTAATGTCTGAGATGTAATTTTCATACGACAATAATAACATATACCTAATGAAATTCCATATGTAGGGTCTGAAAAATTGATGTAATTTTTATATTTGCAAATAAAGTGCTTATTAAATTGCCCGAATAAACTAAAAAAATGAACCGGACAAACGTTCCGAACAAACTATAATTTTTATATTTGCAAATAAAGTGCTTATTAAATTGGCCGAATAAACTAAAAAATGAACAGGACAAACGTTCCGAACAAACTATATATTAGTAGTTATTATAAGGTGTACATTAAAGGAAATTTTGGCACCCGCCACCTTTAAATCCTAGATCCGCTTCTGCCTTGCGGTTCGGTTCGGCCTGTCCCTGGACCCCACGCATAGCGGGAGCTTAGTGCACCGGACTGCCTTACTATTTTTAGTCTGTTTCTGGAGTCTGATGCAGCTATTTTCTCACTTTTGACAAACTTAGAGGACCAAAACTGCTCAGGATTATAGTTAAGAGACCATCTTGAACCTTCCCCCAAACATAAGGGACCATTTTTGTTATTTCCCAACAAATTATATTAATCTTTAAGCCTCAAGTTGTAGAATATAGCATTAATCCTTAACTAGTGAATTTCTATTTTGGGCAGAAAGATGTTGTGATAAAGGAAAGTGGAGGGAGCCAAGCAACATGGTTGAAGCAACTGTGTACATTGATAAGGAGATCACTGAAAAACATGAGTAGAGATTTTGGGTACTATTGGTTGAGAATTATAGTGTATATAATACTATCTTTTTGTGTTGGTACTGTGTTTTATGATGTTGGAACTGGCCATAATGCAATATTGGCAAGGGGAGCTTGTGCTGGTTTCATTTCTGGTTTCATGACTTTCATGTCCATTGGAGGCTTCCCATCTTTCATTGAAGAAATGAAGGTAAATACATTGTCTTGCTATTGTTATTGTTTTTTTTTTCCTATCGCTTCTTCGCTACCGTATTTCTTTGATAAACTACTGCGATTATGATTACCTTGAACTAAGGGTCTATCGGAAATAACCTCCCTATCTTACCTGCAAGGTAGGAGGTAAGGTCTAGGTACACTCGACACTCCTCAGACACTACTTGTGGGACTACACTGAGTATATTGTTGTTGTTATTGTTATTGTTGTTGATATTGTTTCGGACTTTCAAAAAATGTTGTTGCACCTGTGTCAGATCCTCTAAAAATGCACTACTTTTGAAGGATCCAAAGCGTTCTCAACGACATTTTTGAAGAGTTTGAGCAACGTAAAGTACAATTTAATTTAGAACAAGATTAATTAGCTAGACATTGGGCTTATAATATTTGCCTTTTTTTCCTATACCTAAGTACAACTGTGTTGTGATTTTTGCTCTCTTCTTCCTTTTTATCCATGAAATATCAGAAATACTGTTAAAAAGGACAAATACTACTAACCATAATTAGTAGGATTTAACTTTTACACACTGATAGTATAAAAAAACTATCATGTCCAAAAAGATAAATACGGGTAAATGTTTGTAAAAAATGAAATTAGTAACCTGAAAAATAAGGCAAATTACTGATTATAACAGATTAAGATATACACACAGTATAAAAATTCTTACTGTTAGTGCTTAGGAACGCCATGTTGGATTGTATATATGAGGGACTTTCTATACATTCGGAAACAGTCTCTTTACCTCCACGAGGTAGGGGTAAGGTCTGCGTACACATCATCCATCCCATACCCTACTTGTAGGATTTCACTGGTTATGTTATTAGACTTTCTATACTTGAATATGGATAAAAAAAGCTCATTATATCATTATATTTGAGTATTAACAATTCATTTTTTGCAGATATTTAGCAAAGAAAGGAAGAGTGGACACTATGGAGTTGGAGTTTTCATTCTTTCAAACTTCATTTCTTCATTCCCATTTCTAGTTATTATGTCTTTGTGCTCAGCAGCCATAACATACAACTTAGTGAAGTTTCACCCTGGCTTCTTCCATTTTTTGTATGCTACCATTGATCTCTTGAGCTCCATTGCTGTTGTTGAAAGTTGCATGATGCTTGTGGCTTGCTTTGTTCCAAATTTCACTATGGGACTTGTTATTGGTGCTGGACTTCTTGTAAGTATCAATTATCCTATCTTGCTGTTTTTTTTTCCGGTTCGGTGTTTGGTACCCGTTTTGGGACCTGATTAATCTGGATACGCATCAGGAAGTCCCACCTTGGGGTAAAACGTTCCCTACCAAGCTGACTCCATACGTAAGGCTTGAACCCTAGACCTCTACATGGAGGCAATGGCGGAGCCAGGATTTTCACTAAGGATGTCAAATATAAAAAATTAAGCACATGAACGCCAAATTCTTTGTTCCATTCCTTTTGTTGAAAGATTTAGATTCTATTACTGACAGTACATAGGTATTTTTATACCATTTTGGTAAAATTGACGTATAATAATGTAGCTAACTCTTCATATCAAGTCGGATATGGTAACATAAAAAATAGAACGAAAACCTGTTACAACCATTTAATTTGCATTGAGAGTGAAATTTTTTTTAAATTATTAATGTGTATAACTTAAATCCTTTGCGTATATAACGCAGGTTATGATTTGATTTTTTTTATTTTTTATTTTTGGTATAATTATTTGTTATATGCAGGGAACAATGATGGCATCAGCTGGCTTTTTCAGGCTAATCCCTGATCTTCCAACAGTCTTTTGGAAATATCCTGTTTCATATGTTAATTACATGTCATGGGCCTTACAGGTAAAATTTCTAAGTCATAAAGCTATACTACAACTTGTTAAGATTACACATTAGTTGGTTGTCCAATATGCATCTCCTAAATATCTAAGTCTTGGTTTTAAAGGCAAATGCAAGGTAACTACTAATAATAAGTGAAATTCGTAACCTGGAAAATAAATCAAGTAATCTTCTATGAAAGGTTAAACTGTAAATTCATAACTTTGACTGTGAATATAAGTTGAAGGGGAGCCTTGGAGCAACGATAAAATTGTCTCTGTATGACCTATAGGTCACGGGTTCGAACTGTGGAAGCAGCCACTTATGCTTGCATTAAGTTAGCTATCTACATCACACCTTTGGGGTGCGCAGCCCTTCCTTGGACCCAGGGGCGGATTTAGGGGGGCGGAAGGGGGTTCACACCGAAACATTACACTGTATATATAAGGCAAAATCTGTTTTTACCTCTATATATTATGTTTTGAATCCACTTGACACAGCCCAGAATCATAACTTAGAGGTCAAGGGGGTTCAAAACCTTTGTAAGGTCATTGGTTCAATTCTCACTATCTACAATCTATTTTAACTTTTTTATTTTTTGAACCCCCTTAGCGGAAATCATGCCTCCGCCACTGCCCGGACCCTATGTAAATGCGAGATGTTTCATGCATTGGACTGCCCTTTTTGACTGTGGATATAAGTTATAGGTTCTTTCGATATATTCCTTTTAACAATTTTTCTCTTGATTTTGCAATGCTAGGGAGCATACAAGAATGATTTAATAGGATTAGAATTTGAGGGTATAATCCCAGGTGATCAAACTATGAAGCTGAAGGGTGAAGTAATCATAAGCTCAGTGCTTGGATTTTCAGTTAAGCATTCAAAATGGTGGGATTTGGGTGTTGTAATTTCTATTCTAATATCATTCAGATTGCTTTTCTACATAGTTCTCAAGCTAAAGGAGAGAGCTTTACCAGTTTTACACACATTTTACACAAAGAAAACTCTTCAACATCTTAGTAAAAGGCCTTCATTTAGGAAAACACCACCATCTTTTCCATCAAAAAGACATTATAATGTTCACTCATTGTCTTCTCAAGAAGGCCTTAATTCTCCTCTCCACTGAGAATATTATTAGAGTTTAACAGCTTGTTTGGATTGGTTGTTATTTATTGTATTGTATCGTATTGTTATTTTAAATATAATGTTTGTTTTGATTGTTACTTAAATTTTATAGTATCGTATCGTTAAATCCATTCTTAAAAGAACTTTAGTGGTTAGTGTAATACCATTTTTTTGGTTTCCCTTTGTACTTTTTGGGTGATTTATGTATTGGCTATGTAGAAAATTGTTCCAATATAACATATGTTTTATAGGGAAGTTTCAATATTTTTCCTTTGTTTCAACTCTAGGGTGAATTTACAAGGCATGTGCTCTCCTTCCTATAATACACATTGATGTAATATATATTAAAGTCTTTTGCCCTGTGAAATTCACACTAGAAATTGCATGCTCCTTATGCCAGATCTTGCATTCAATTTTATAAGTTCTATGCACTGTCGATATAACAAAAATTTGAAGAAAGTGAATGTAATATAATTTGTTCTAAATCAATTAAACCATTATTTTCCTTCTTCCCCACCAAGACAACAATCTAACAAGGCACCATTATGAGGGCTAGAATTTAAAATTGCAACAGAACTTAGTATCCTCCACCTACAGTACCGAATCCACGATGTAGATTCAGTGGATTTTGCTTTTAAATATGTGCTCAACTTTTCCCAGGCACATTCGCATACATATATATAGTCCGAGCTAGACGAAATGAGTTAAAAATTGTGCATAAGAGAACTTTTTAAGAATGTCCACCACCATTATTATTGTTTCAATAGTTGAGATAGCATAAGTACTTGACATGAAATTGCAAGGAGTTATGAACATAAGAGAAGACGAGGATGAAATCAAAATAATTTAAATATGAAGGATGAAATAATACTGCAATGTCTAAAGCAGACAATTCATATATGTAGACAAGATTAAAAATGATCATATCCAACATACATGTGACACTATGGAGATTGAAAGCGTTATGAGGGAGTAATGACCTAAAATTATATTGAAGGATGTTGAAGATGTACGTGATTAAATAAAAACTATATACTCTCTAATAATTTAAGTTTATAGATGATATGGTTATACAATTCAATGTGCTATGAGAGCAAAAATCATCCCCATTCTAGTTTATCCAATATTAGGCCACCATGTTATGTTGTCCCTGCTTCAAACGTCCAATCCTGGATGTGCGGGAGGTGAGGGTTATATGTTCTACATTGGTTAAGGGACTGGACTATCATCTACAAGCTCTTGGACAACCCTCGCTTCACGATTTAGTTTTTGAAGTTGTCCAAGATCCTTATAACTCATTTCCTCCACCAATATGAGATACTTGACATTCCATTCACCCCGATGTCCAAGACTAGAAATTTGGAGCATGAACAACATAACATTGTGACCTAATGTTGGATAACCCAAGAATAACAAGCGGACGCCTAACTCAACTCCAAAATTTAGCTCATTGGTCCAAGACTATATAAAGAGACAACAAATATATTAAAAATAGAAGAAAGATTAGACTAACCTTAAATCTAAATTGCCCCTTGCCCAACACCGACTATCATCTCCAATCACCGGTGCCATCCAAGCACTACAAACGCTAAACGCCAATCATCCCTTAGCCTCGTGTTTCTAAAAGTGAAAAGCTAAGAAGCGACAAGATTGATGAAGCTTAAAGTGAAAGCGAGAAGTGAGGCGCACACTTCTTTGAAGTGAAGCACATAGTTTTACAGAATTTAAAAGTACAATACAATATGATTTTAGTACTATAATAATAAAATTTCAATTAAAATAACTGATTTAGTCTTCTGATATACAATAATGCCGATAATAATACAACTCCTTAAGTTGAGATTCAAAGAATTGATCCTCCTTGTTGCACTTTCTGTGTCATTATTGAAGCGCACACTTGTGTAAAAGCGCACGACTTCGCCCATAAAGCAATGACCTCTCGCTTTGCATCGCTTCATCGCTTTAACCGACGAAGTGATGACTTTTAATGACAATGCTTTAGCCCTAATGGTAGCAAAATAGATAAAAAAACAATTATCTATCCATACTATTCACTAAAAAATTGGTTGGATAATGAACTCTTTAAAAAACGGATCTAATATAGATAAAAACTATATTATCCACTTAGAAAATGGATAACTAATGGGTTTAACTCTCACATTTGTAAAGACTCAAATTGGGGGTGCCTCAAGTTTGGAAGACTAGGAATTCTCCCAAAAATGATCATATTCAAGAAGTCATGGATAATATGAGTACCCATATTATCCGCCGGTTAACCCATTTTCTATTCATATTAAATATGGGTCGGGTCGGATAATTCATCCGTTTTGTGTGACTCCTTTTCGACTCGTCCATATCCGACCCGTCCCGTCCATTTGTCACCCACACTTGGCCCTTACCCATCATCATCTATATATAATGGTGGTGCTAGGCTAACTTATACACACCTCAACTAATCTGCCAAGTACTTATTGTGACACCCTAAGCGAATCTCACATCGACAAAACACGGGAGAGATGTTGGGTATATAAGTAGCAAGGCCTTAGATTCTAGTGATCATTTTACAACCGTGCGAACCTAGGCCCAAAGTGGACAATATCACTAGTGGGGTGGATTGTTCGATATGATATTAGAGTCACTACGCGCGCAACTTTGAACGATGGTGGGGCAAACCTTACGGAGGATGCCGAGTCCCTATGGGGGGAGGAGGTGTATGTGACACCCTAGGCGAATCCCACATCGACAAAACACGGGAGAAATGCTGGGTATATAAGTAAACAAGCCTTAGACTATAATGACACGTTTTAAAACCGTGCGAGCCTAGGCCCAAAACGAACAATATCACTAGTGGGTTGGGATGTTACATATGGTATCAGAGCCACTCCGCGTGCAACCTTTAACTGTGGTGGGGGACGCTGAGTCCCTAAGGGGGCTGTATGTTACACCCTAGGTGAATCCCACATCGACAAAACACGGAAGAGATGCTGGGTATATAAATAGATAGGGACTCTAGTGATGCATTTTATAACCATGCGGTCCTAGGCTCAAAATAGACAATATCACTAGTGAGCTGAGCTGTTACACTTACTATCTCCACCAACACAAGTATCGAGTAAATCCGCCAACAAGAATTAGGTAGATTGGACAAATTGCTTAGTATTTTTGTCTTTAGTGAGATTTGAACCCTGATTTCCCATTATTTTCATCCAACTTTATTAACCACCGAGCCACACCCTTGAAAATCCGCCTTTATGATCTTCTTGATCATGCAATCACGACCACTTTGCTGTATTGCCTCATCTTTCCACTCCGGTAACCCTATCATGTGTCACTTGCCCTGTTGCGCCGTTACTATAACTTGCCCTTTCCACCATGCCCCTTCTACAACTCCTTCCTCTCGAACCTCTCCCGCCCTGACCTTCAGCCATTCCAAAACCTTGCTTTATTTTCTCAAGAAGTCAAAACCTTGAATTCAAGCTCCATAAATCACAAATTAAAAATACATGCAAAAACACATTCTATTTCAATTTATGAATAAACATCACAAACAATGAACAACACCAAATTTAATGTAGCATATAAATTTGAATGACAAGTACATGAGGGTCAAGCAACAATCTCACGGACTAACCGCTAAATTCATCAACCAGAAATTTCTTCCATCAGACAGCACATTTCTCTAACAGAAAGAGCTAATAAAGACTAGAATCAGGGTCTCAACCAACTACAAGAAGACAACAACACAATAGAAACTGTACAACAGGCTACCCAAATGAAATTGATCACCCATTCTCCAGCACTCAACAGTCTACCACTTACAAAAGTTGGAACAACTATGAGACCACGCCAAGTAGCATTCTACATTCTATTTACAAAAGCTGAAACATAACCAACCTGAGTGCACTGCTCAAGCTTAGCTGACCATTTCAGCAGCTTCACCAATTTTATTTACGTGCTCTTTTACCACTTTGAGCATAGGGCACATCCTAGTTGAATGCCATGAATCACCTGTAATCAGAAAGTTTAAATCATGTTCAATCTGCCAAGATAGCTTAGATGAATGGAGTTAGGCAGATGCAACTGCTACTTAAGGTAGTTGTTTTTCTCTTCCTAATCTACTTCTGATATAAAATAGTAGGATGGACTAAAACTTGCGAGCCGAAAAGGAAAAAAGAAGTATGAGTCTGATTTTAGTACTATCTGGCACAACATTATCTTGCTTGAGAATAAAAGTGACAGATTAAGCTGCAATGAGGAGTAGCTGAAGTTGATAGCTGTAAAATTAATCATGACGTGTCAAAATTGAATAAATGAATTCAATGATTCCAATTTTTAGAAAGAATCTTTTACAAGGTTTGACTGTCACGTAGCAGCCTAAATCAGTAAGATCAGAAAAATTACAGTGAAAATCGGAGTCAAACAACCAGTATTCTATGTATTGGTCAACATGGTAAAAGACAAATAGCTAATTCTTTTGTTCATTGGACACACCATTCTCGACTCTTCCATCAAAGCCATGATAAGGAACTTCAACCATCGGTCTCGGAACAGCGCGCCCACCAAAATCTTCAGGAAAGCATTCAAAGTCAGGGCCAAAATTGAACTTCACAACGCAATTAGGTTGGTCAGGAAGTGTATACATTGAAGCAGCAGGGTAGTAACGACCACCATAAAGATCCTTGAAAGCAACACCTTGACATACTCCATTTTTAAAGAAAGATATCTCACTCCCTGCTCAGACAAAATACAATATTTTGTACACAGCTTAATGAACACGACAATTTGACAACACAAGAAAAAGAATTTGCCAAACACGTAAGGAGGAAACAGGGGTTACTGGAATTTCTCAAACTTGATTTCCCCAGAGATACCTTTACAAACATATCTTTTGTAAGTAGATAGTGTTTTTCAGCATTTTGGTATCAAGACTACATAGTGAAATAGAGTTTGAATATTACACCAAAGGAGATCCTACTCATTGAGATGGTCAGCACACGCATATACACAAAGACGAGCATGTAATGTAAATTGCTAAATCAAACGAGCCATTAGGACTAGAACTTCATATCTTTGATTGACAAGTGTGAGAAAAGAACATCATTCTTGCTCATAATAGTTCACTAATACAGCAACTAAGCAACCCATACTATCTAAGCAATTGAACTAGGACATTCACATTTGTCATTGCGATATCCCAATACCACCATCACCATCAAAAACACCAAAGGTTTGCTCTTTGATGCTAACACGAAGGAGATGAGAGTAATGAGACCCCCCCCCCCCCCCAAATCACTACTGTGAGATAGTAGTGCGCTTCTTCTTGAATTCTGAATAAGTTAATAGCTTTAATAGAGTCTTTGCAAAACTCTAACACTAGCAAATTTGAACGAAGAACATGGTGATTCATCTTCACTCTCAAAAAGTTAATCCCTTGACCAGACTCCTTCAGAAACCCCATTAACCTATAAAACTAGTAGATACATGAGAAGACAATCAATTCTTTTCTTTTTTCTTTTTTTGACAAGGTAGAAGACATTCAATTAAAAGAAGACTTGTGGGTGTATTTGACTGAGACACAAGGTAATAAGACTTTTTGATATCCTAATTTATCACAAGAGGTTTGCTATGATTCTATATTTGAATAGTTTCCGCACATTCTTCCCGAGTTTATTAACCTTAAAGCATCAGCTCCTCTTATACACATATCTTACCTAATGTAATTCTTTGTTAGTTCTTCGAGTTTAAGGCATAAGTTCTAGCATCTAACTGCATAAAAATCAAAACTTTACCAAAAACCATCAATTTTTTCTTATTCGTTTGTGATCAACTTTTGAAACAACAGCAATCTAAAAGTATCAAAGCATCAGCTCCTCATTTATACACATAAGTTGTCCAAATTAACTTTAATTGACCATCCTAAGTTTGAATCAACAATTCAAGCAGCAGACAGCATAAAAATTGAACCTATATCAAAACAGCAGCAACAAACAACAACAAAAAAACCGATTTTTTACTCGAGCGCCTCAATCCCAAATAAGTTGGATCGTCCATATAATCCTCACTGACAGCATTCAAGCAGATTCAGCATAAAAATTGAACTTCTATCAAAATAATAGCAACAACAAACAACAACTACTACTACTTCTCACTCCCAAACAAGTTCAGGTTGGCTATATGAATCCTCACGGACAGCATTCAAGCAGCCACTCAACATAAAAATCGAACCTTTATAAAAACAACAGGAACAACAACTACACCTCAGTTCCAAACAAGTTAAAGTCCGCTATATGAATCATAGTTCATCATTTCAAGCAGCATTAAGCATAAAAATTGAACATTTATCAACAGTTCATAACAACAACAGCTACTACACCTCAGCGCCCAAACAAGTTGGGGTCAGCTATATGAATCCTCAGTGAAAGCATTCAACATAAAAATTGAACCTTTAACAAAACAACAGCAAGAAATGCTCAAATAAAATCTAGCACTTGAGCTGGGTGTCAGTCACATACCTGGAATTATTTTGGGAGGATCTTCCTTAGGATCAGAAGCACACATATACCTCTGTCCCTTATACCAAACAAGTCTCGGCGGTTTCGGGGCATACTGACTACCTTCAGGCAAATTAATATAAAAACCAATAATATCACCTTCACCATACCCTTGTTCCCCATATTTCTCCCTTAAAGCTTTATGAATCTTGCTACCATCAATATCTCTATATCCAAAACTATTCCCATCATATCCAACAGGTGCTTGTAAATCCCCTTTATCAGTGGACCACCCAAGTCTTGTATGCCCACTTTCACCTAATTTCATTACCTTAATCTCAAAATACCATGCTCCTTCTAATACCCCTCTTGTTGCTCTCACCATTCTGTAACCTTTAATACTCCCTGCAGTTAATCTATCTTCACTTATGTCCACTTTTTCTGCTTTGTAAACTTTTGAAAGGCAGATTTTCATATCTGGGCTGTCGTCATTTTTGTCAGGGAATCTTGGGATAGGTGTAATGTAAACTTTGTCTTCAGCTTCTTGTGCTGAAACGGCGCCGTTCTTGTTGGTTTTTGTGTTGCTGCTGTTGTTGTTGTTGTTGTTTTGCTTCTTTTTTTTGCCTTTACGTGAACTGGGTTTTGTCCAGAGGTTGTTGTTGTTGTTGTTTTTCTTCTTGTATTTTGCTTTCTTGCTGCTTGTGGAGGTCGGAGTTTCCTTTGCTGCTGCTGTAATTATGGGTGTTGACAAGGGCAATTTGGTCATTTCACCATTTTGTTGTTCCTCTTCTTCTACTTTTGGCGGTGTTAGGGTTAAAGTGGAAAGTGGCTTTTGCTTCTTCGGTGGTGGCTCTTCTTCTTCATCTTCATCCACGTCATCATCGTCGTCGTCGTCGTCTTCTTCTTTCAGGGGGATTTTCGGGTCGGTGGAAGGTAATTCGGGTTCGGGTTCTGGAGTATTCGCACTGCCATTTTCGACAACTGAAGGTGGAGCTTCGGCGGAGGATAGTGGAGCTTCAGCGTAGGATGGTGAAGCTTCTACGGGGATTAGTGGAGCTTCGGCGGCGGACGGTGGAGATTCGACGGCGGCGGTGTTTTCTTCTTCGTCGTCGTCTTGGTAAGTGGCGATGAGATTCTCCATTGTTTGAGACGAAGGAAGCAGTATCTGAATGGGTTTTAATAGTGGATAATTTTGTAGGCCCAATGTGGAGAGTTTCTTGTGGGCCTTATCATATAGCCCAAAAGCTTGACTAAAACATGAAGAGAAAACACAAATAGCGGACTAAATTCACTATTTACTTTTACTAACCATTATATATATATTGGGACATCCAGAAAAGCTATCCCATTTAAGAAGCCCCTAAGTATATCCATGCTCCCTTCTATCCTTGATGGATCAATAGAAAAACTTTACATATCAAAATGGAATTCCGAACCTCTTCTTCGACCCTGACTACTCAACCTAAGAGCGTATAGCTAATGCATTCCACTTATTGAACAAGATTCTATGGTCAGTCTGTGACCCCTGAATGCCGAAGGCATACTTGGGATGATCTCGTGTATATATATATATATATATATATATATATATATATATATATATATATATATATATATATATATATATACTACTTTTTATAATTTAAGCTTGGGTGAGTGGCTATTTAGGCTATTTCTTCAAATAACTTTAGCCCGTGTGAGTTTCTTGAGGTTCGTCCAGCCAAGGTAATATAACTGAAGAAACTTGTGAAATTGGACCAGTTACATATATACAAGAAAGACCTAAAATTTTATAATGTTCAAATAACTTGAAAGTGAAAATATTTATTTGGCGATTGCAGTTCTTAGTTTCCATACACGAAATTCGTCGCGAATGGTAAGCTAATGAAATCAATAAGATTAGTAGTGTGGTATTATAGCTATTGGTTTGTAAGGTTATAATTAAGTTATTACTATCTTACGAGTAGTTTGCTATATTTTATTAGTCTCTCTTTAATCTGTCATAAGCAACCGATCGACAACAAATAAGTTTCTTTTTTTATATTTACTTAATATGCAAACTTTTTTTGAGCCAAATCAGTGCTAGAAGTTAGGTTGATTGACCGCCCAAAAAATAATTCTTATTTGCATAATATTCAGAATAGAGAAAAAAGAAGTAAGTATATTTGTATTGCACTTATTAAACAACTAATGAGTCAAAATTTGCTAAACACATTGGTGCAGAAAGCGTATCTTTTAGTGGCCCAACAACACAATAGATAGACGTGATATAATATGGTAGATGTTGTTTAATTTGATGTTAATCAGTAAACTTTGCCCACTAGAGTTAAGTAAATTAAAATTTATCTACATGCTCAATGAGTTGTTTTCTTTACTAATTTTGGAAAGTAAATTGGTGACATAATAACAAGGGAACCCGTGATTAAACCTAACTCAACGGTTGTTGGATAACGTAGCCTCTTCTATCTTTCAGGACCAACGGTCATGTAGAAGCAATGACTATTGTGTATGGGTCAAAATTCGGCTAAGAAAATTCTGCATGAAGAGGTGACCAAGTGTAAGAACTGTGTCCAATCATGAACGACTAGGCCGAGGTCGACCCGGGCTTGACGATATGGAGCCACCAAGTAAGCTCCTAAGGCCGAGGGCGAGCGGCAGAAAAAGGAATAACGGCTAGTATAGCTTTGAAACTTTAAAAGAGAACCCTCTGCTGTATTTTTTTTTGGGTTTTTTGGGAATATCGCATATAAATAGTAGAGAGAAGGCGATAGGGGGGTAATTTTTATTTCTGATAAGCACTCTAATGAAAAGTTGACTCTAGAGAGAGAGATAAAGAAAAGTATTACCTTTCCTTAAGGATTCGATTCACTGTTCATTCCACCTTTTTCTCGCATCAGATCCGAGAAAACCTCATATATTCCAATATCCATTTGTCTTACATCGTTCTCAGATAAGAGAATCATCTACCCCATTCAATGTTTGGGTGATTCGTTCTCTCTATTTACACTTATTGCCCTTCAATATAGTTATTGCTCATCATTGTTCCTCCATTTATTCTAGACTGCATCATTTAATACCATTTGTATTAAATCGACTCAAACGATTATTCTGTATTATTTATACAAGCATGTGTTAGATCTAGAACTTATTATATTTAACTAGGATTTACCCATCATCTTTTCATTTAATTGGTTTAGCAAAAAGTTTCATACTTTTTGGTCAAACAATTTAGCGCCGTCTGTAGGGATTTTCTAGTCAAAGTCATAGCTTTTCTAGATTTAAAAAAAAAGACAACAGCAAAACACAAAAATTTCTTTTTCCTACTTGCACAGCTTAACATGGCAGGTAATGGAGAGCAAAGATTGAAGGCAGCGGCAGGCCTTACTGCTAACCTCCTAAACACCATCAATGAGGTTAATGGAGAAGACGAGGAGAACGTGACACCAAACGATTCCCCTAGACGAAGTGGTTCACCTCTTCCTCATAGCAGCGTTACCACCTCCCATGGAAAAGCAGCCTCCACGTCCACAACGGAAGAAGCACCACCAGCAGTGAAAAAACTACTAGAAGCAACGAGTACGCTAACCAACATACTCGACAAACCTGCCCAAAGGGCAAGCAGGGAATATGCACGAGTCGACATCACAACAACAACCATTGAGCAGCACGTCCCTCCTCCTTCAACATGTATCACTTACACGGTTAATGATGCAGGTAACGACACCCTTATAGCTATTCTAAGAAAAATGGAGGAGATGGAGAATGAAAATAAAGCACTCCTCGACCAAATGAGGGAGCACCAAGAAAGGGTAGATAGACATCAGGCGTCCCAAAGCTTCTACCAAAACAGGATGCCGGCCGGTTTGTAGAACAACCATACAGCGACGAGACCGCACCCCATGCTATACCTAAAACATTGAAGATGCCGCCGTACTTGAAGATATATGACGACACAACGGACCCTGAGGATCACGTCACCCACTATGTCACCGCAGTAATGGGAAACGACCTCGCCAAAGAGCAAGTATCATCCATATTGTTGAATTTTTTGGGTGAAATCCTAACCAGGGGAGCGCTGACGTGGTACTCACAACTGCCAACGCGGTCCATAGAAACATTTGAAGAAATGGCCGACAAGTTCGTCACCGCACACGCCAGGGCCAAGAAAGCAGAGGCGAGAGTAAACGATATATTCGCCATTAAACAATCACCTGGCGAAGGGCTCAGGGACATCCTCGCACGGTTCAACCGAGTTAGAATGACTCTCCCAAATATGCCAGAAGGAATGGCGGTAGCAGAATTCCAAATGGGCTGAACAGGAGCGGTTCGAGGACAACCAAAAAATTATTAAGCCGACTCATGAAATACCCCTACCACTTGGGACGAAATCCACAATGCCTATTGCGCCGAGATGAGAGCGGATAAGGAAGACCTCAATGGACCGACCCAACGGTTGACATCAGTCCAAATGGAGGCGAGAAAAGACCACATAAACGATGACAGAAGGGACCATGCAGGTCCACGCCCCAACCGTGAAAGACACCAGCCATACGTCAGAGCTGCCATCATACCACCCCCCCCCCTCCATGGTGACGGTCCATCCAGGCCACAGACAGGGACTCACCGAAACGAGAGAGGTATGCCTCCATTATTATCCGCTCACAACTCTTGTGTTTCTCCTTCAGAGATAGTCTACGCCCTAGAGAAGCTCGGCCCAAAGGTGAAATGGACACAAAAGATGAAGTCCGACCTAAACACCAGAAAGTCGAACGCCCTCTGTGAATTCCACCAGGAACAAGGTCACAAGACCGAGGACTGCATCGCCTTGAGGCAAGAGGTAGTGAACATGCTCCATCAAGGGCATTTGAGAGAATTAATGAGCGACCAAGGAAGAGCGAACTTCGCTCGAGGACGAGAACAGCACCAAGGACCGCCAAAGACACCCTCTCCAACCCGCACCATCCAAATGATGATGAGGCGTCAATCAACAACGTAAAGTTCACAGCCACCCATAAGCTGAAGCGATCAAATCAATAACCCATGAACAATATGACGACCTCGAAGAAAGTACCATCTTCGACGAGTCGGATACCCACGGTTTGACCTTTCCTCACTATGATGCTCTTGTGATTACTTTGCGTATTTCAAATACCGATGTAAAACGAATTATGGTATATGACGGAAGCAGGGCGTGCATTATCCACCCTCGAGTCCTCACACAAATGAGGCTTGAAGATAAGATAGTGCCACACTGCATCACACTAACGGGTTTTAACAATGTAGTTGAGCGGACTTCCGGAAAAATCACACTACCCGTTCTGGCCAGTGGTATCACTCTGGAAACAATGTTCCACATTATGGATCGAGATACGGCGTACAACGCCATCATAGGACGGCTATGGATACACGCTATGAGGGCCATCCCATCTAGCTTATATCAGGTCATCAAGTTTCCTACCCCGTCGAGAGTATTCATTATTCGCGGCGAGCAGCGCACAGCCCAAGAATGCTACCGCATCCCCCAAGACTGCACCTACACTCAATAGTTAAAGGGCAAAGGCGCAGAAGCATAGCAATTAACGAGGTTGAAGTCGAACGCCGACGAAGGGACATCAAAGAACCCGATATCGTGGAAGCTACGAGATCAACTGTGGAAGACCTCGACCCCGTGCAGCTCGATAAGAGCGACCACAGCAAAAAGGCTTATATCGGCCACAAACTACAAGAACCAGGTAAATTCCATCAATTTCTAACTAATAATGCGGACTTGTTTGCCTTCTCTCATGCAGATATGCCGGGCGTCCCAAAGGAAATAGCAACATACAAATTGAACGTCGACCCACTCTAACCCCTGGTACGGCAGGTTAGAAGAAAATTTAATGCCGCAATAAATGATGCCGTCCGTGAAAAGATAGAAAAATTACTTGAAAACGGCTCTATCAGAGAGTCAAAATACCCCCAATGGGTCGCCAACGTGGTCATGGTAAAAAAGAAAAATGGGAAATGGCGAATGTGCAGACTTCACAGATCTGAACAAGGCATGCCCGAAAGACTCATTCCCACTGCCACACATTGATCAGCTCATCGATGCAACAGCAGGGCACGAGCTAAAGTTTCCTGGACGCCTATTTAGGCTACAATTAGATCCTCATGGAGGAGGAAGACCAG